CTTAAAGCTAAAAATTGGCAGTACGTTTGATACATTGCCCCTCGTTCTGAAAAGGAATATATGTGTCTGTGGTGCCAACAGCAATCACATCTTAAGTTCCAATTAAAATGTGGCTTTTCAACTCCGAAGCTCCGTGTGACCATTTAGCCATCTGTTGGGTAACACAAGCCCACTAATTTGAACCTAGATAATTATAACTGTAGGAACAGTGCGGGGTAAAGTTCAGCTGGAGTTCCAGTTGAGAATGACTGTTAATTATGAAGAGATAATTACTGAGAGCTTATCTCACACACAGGGGGAGAAATACCAAGTTTCTGGTGTAGGTGCATGTCACAAACACGCCCCCACATGTGCACACAGGCAGATGTGTGCACATTTTAATCATTTCTTGAAATCTTCCTTCAAGATGCATATGCCACATGATGTCTACTAAAATCGCATTCACCGGGAGTGGTGCTGTTCTTCATAAATTCTTCGTTGGATTCTTTGTGTTTTGTTCTTTTCTCATTTTACTACATGAAAGTATTTGTGCTTAAAAGGCCAGTCTCAGCGACAAAGAAAAGAACCTTTCACTGTTGCTGCTGGAACCTGACTAAAACCCTTAGCATACACTGAAGTTAGGTCCGTAACAGAAGCATCAGAACTGGAATGAGTCCTCAGCTGTTAAATTTGGTGGCAGAAGGGGGGGTTTCAGGTTACCATTTGGTGACGCTGCATGCTGCAGAATATTGCTTGAAAAAGAAGCCAGTCACGTGGGTTCCTTTTCTCCTCACCTTCTTGATATGAATCACTGATCTAGGAAGCAAATAAAAGACAAATCATGAAGAAAAATCAAGCAATGCTTTTCACCTTTGCTACATTATCATCAGATCAAATGTCACTGAACTATGTACTGGACAAGAAGACATTCACTATTGACTCACCAGCGTTACAAGCAAAGGGCTTTGTAGAATTACTACATCATGAAATGTCTCTTGCACCTTCATTCCAAACATGAACCTCAGCCAACTCCATGATTCAAGTGAAGAAACTGATTGGCACTTCTGACTGTTCCAATATTAAAAACTTGTGACTCTACATTGTGGCAGAACTTAATCTTCAGGAAATAATAGGGAAGTGTAAGGGACAGATTTAAATCACCTGAAAATAAAGATGTTAGAGAAAATCTAATGTATCCCTTGATAAAAAACAAAATGAGGTTAGCTGTAATGATCTTTCTTCGAGCTTGTTTGAGCTCACTGTAATCCTAAAGTGAAAATAATTTTTTACTGTATTACCAAGAATTTGACACCATACATGCTTGAATCGCGGTGAAGCTATACATGTAACGGACCTGTGGAAGTCATGTAATTTCTCCAAACTTCAGTTTGGTTTTCTCTAATGAATATATAATGTAAATACTTTTCTCAAAAAGTGTTTGGAAAATTAGACAATGAATCTAAGCTTTTCGTATTAAATTGTCAATATCCTAAGCTCCAATTAACTATTATTGAGTGAGATTCATCTGAAATTTGTATTCACATGACATTGATTCTACTTAGAAACAAACATAGATTATCTACTTGAGACTAAAGGAATTTTTTTTTAAAAATCTCACACTTCAGATACTTTGCCCTTCTGTCCAATGGGCTTGAATGAATTAGGGTTATAATACCAATTTGTAAAGGCTGATGTTTGTCTGATTGTTTTTGGATCAGCATATCAGTTTGCATAGAAGGGATTTTATACCCTTTTTAACTCATTATCCATTAATTATTTAGAAGTGATAATTAGGCAATACAATGTAAAAGAAAGAATGGAGAACAGGAATGTAGGAAGCCTCGCTGTTTGTCCTGGGGCAAATTAATCTTCCCAGCTTTCAGTTTCTTCAGACTTCAGAGGGAAACAGACTGCGCCGGCGACTTCCCTGCAAAGTTGGTTTACAGCTGTCACTTTATGGTTGCACAAGAAACTCAGGACAGCTCACTTTTCAAAATTCTGTCTTGCACCTGTGGGAAACAATGAATCCTGAGTCCCGTTCATCTCCCTGCTCTCTAAAAGAGTATTTGATTGCTTTTATTTAAAGGACCTCCCCTGTCAGTGGATAAGGGAAAGGGCATAGGGGGAGAAGAGGGAGGTAGGTTGGGACTGGGAGGAGAAGGTGGGGAGGGCCACAGCTGAGATACAAAGTGAATAAACTGTGATAAAGAATAATAATTAAAAAATAAAATATAAAAAATAAAGAACAAGAAATAAGACTCTATGAAATAATTCTAGCTAAAAATATATTTTTTTTACTTTCTGTTCTTGTTCAGCAAACTTTCTCTCCAACAAACTTTTACAATAAAAAATAAAACATTCTCAACATATATTTAATAAGCTTGAATGTTCATTAGTGAAATTCAAGGAACTTATTAGGTTTTATGACTTATTATATATGATTTGGAATGTAGATACACAACAAAGAGAAATATAAACGTGACAAGGAACAGAAATACGTATCCCTATGCCCTATGTGACTATTGTTGATTGGATTATGAAAAAGAGGATTGCTTGTACGTAATTTAGGTTGTCAGTTCCATTCCTGGAACCAGATGAAAATCTAATAATACATATAGGCCTTTATGAACTCCTAACTCCCATTTGAATAATACCATCTATTGCTATTATACATAAAATGATATACATATATAATATACACAAAATGATTTGTTTTCTTTTTATAATGGAATAGGAAATAAGAACTTATTACCATTCCTACTGTAATTCTATTGCAAAGGAAATTCCATGGTAAAGAACACGGATGAGGTTTTCGTATGGTTTAGACTATACTGACTTGCCAAGCGGTGGTGACTTTTTAGTGGGGGACTGACTTGATGGCTTGATGTATGTTTAACTCTGTACTACAGTTTGTTTCCATACTGAAAATAGACAGTAAAGTGAAGCCATGTAACTTCTGAGATGAACTTTTCTTCTGGGTTTGCCTCATTTGACCCTTATCTCTATTCCTGAGGCAAAAGCTCAGTATAATTTTCCTCAGAATAGCTTCTAACACGAGCTCTCTGTTTCAAGGACTCTGTCTCTTCTTTTGGAAAAGTTAACTTTCTGAATATTGTGGTGCTTTATAGTCAGATACCTAGCCATCATCCAGACAGCTCACAGGGTCGGAGGAGGAAGCCTGAAGGCAGCCTTTCCTCTAGCCCATAGAAGCTGACCTGGAAGTGGAAATAGCAAGAAAGCAGTTGAGAAAACTCCAAAATTTTCTTTTTTAGCTCATAAAACATCAAAGTCAGGTCTATTTTGACACCACAGAAATTCTTTCATCTACATGTTAAACTGTGGACTGCATTTAGTGTTAGAGTATTCAGATACAAGCTTTTTGGTTCAGTTTCCTAAAGCACATTTTGCATGACAAGAGTTGCTAAAATGAGAAATATACAATAAAGGCAGGTTTGCTAATGAAGCAAAAGAGTCTGAATCATATCAGAGACTTCTAATAAATCACACCCATGCAAGTCTAGCTAGGTTGTTCAGTGGATAAGGAACTTATGCGGAAGCCCCAGTAACATAAGTTCAAATCCCTGAATCCACTCTGGATGAGACAACTCGCTTCTGGAAGTTATCCCATGATTCCCACCTTTCCTAGAATCCACACACATTTGCTTAGACGTACACAATAGTATTTTTATTTAAAAATAGCCATATACATTTCATGCCAAGGCTTTGAAATCCCTGAGGCAGCATGCTAAAATACATGCTGGCTTCCAGAATACCTGTATTTTGTGATTTCACAGCATTTTATTATTATCTCTGTGATTTAATTTTAACGTAGTTTTAAAAATCTATCATTTGCTTATCTTAATTAAAAATGTGCTATATCATTAAGTATTCATCTTTCAGTTAGATGGCTTCACATGTAATTATATGAAAAAAAAAGAGTGGAAAACTTTTCAATGATTAGAGTAAATGATCTGGAGAGTTGCCCACATTTTATTGTTAATTAGCTTAGTTGGGAGATTAATTAATCTCTATGTGTAGCCTATATAGAAGATAGATTTACCACATGTGCTTATAAATTATTTTTATAAACTTATATTTACTAGTTAAAGGAAAACATAGATTTAAACACACAGGTAAATAATCTCACATACAAAACAAAACTGGGAGTATACAGAAACCGTTGTCCGGCTGACTGAGTTATCTTGTATTTAAACTAGAGTGATGAATGTTCCGAGTGCTTTGGCCATATGTATTATTCTCCGAATAGACCCTCAGTAAGCATTTGCACTACTCACCTTATGATAGTTTGGCACGTGAACTTGGTAACGGGTATCCATGATTACATTGCTCTAGTGGGGAGCAGAGCAGGAGGTACTATGGAAACTCCTGGACCGGCCAGTCTGGTCCAGGATATCCTAACAACAGACATTTCTCAATCAAGGCGGAAGGTGAGGACCAACATCTGAGGTGGTCTGTTACTTCCATGTTCATGGCGTGCATGTATGAGCTCATATGCACACACACACACACACACACACACACAAGTGCACACACACACACACGCAAATGCACACACACAAACTTTTTTTGTCTTAAGTAAGAGCAGATTCTTTACCATGGTGTGGTGTCTGACAGCTTTTTCATTTGCTTGTTTTGTGACAGCCCTGTCTTTTGTTTTTGTTCTGTTTTGTTGTGCATTGTCATGTCCATAAAAGATTTAAAAGGCATGTGTTATTTGCAAACTACGGCCAGTAGTCTTGCCATTGCCTGTTCATACTCCAAGCTAATGACCCTGAATAATTACTTATGACAACGAAGACACGGGCAGTGAATAATGGATCTGTGCAGCAGCTCTAGCTCTAACCTCTAACTAGCTTTCATTTTTCATCTTTAAAATTTTCATTTCCTCTACCGAAATAGATTCTCCTGCACATGTTGATGGTCTTCTGAGCTCTTCTGACATGCGGTCTGTTGGTGATACTGTTAATAATTTTTCATATTCTTTTTCTCTTCTTTTTTAGTCTCGACCTATTCCTTCCCACCTTACTTCAGCAGTTGCAGAGAGTATCTTGGCTTCAGCCTGTGAAAGTGAGAGCAGAAATGCTGCCAAGAGGATGCGCCTGGAGAAACCACAGGTACTGAGGAGTGTGGACGAGTGCAGACCTTCGAGTGGGTCTAACACACAGAGTTCTGTTCTTAAAAACTTGGATCTGAAAAGGCTCTGCTCTGGTGATCCATGAATATCATACAAACAAAAAAGTATGGTGAAAAGGGGGTAATAGTGAAACTGAATTCAACTTCCTGTTAGTATTAATTTAATAGCTAATTAAGAGATTCAGGTTGACTGGTTGTCATATTATCCAAATTTACCTTGTCATCTATGATCATGACTCAATTGTGTTCATTGGTAATGAAAACGAACCCTTCTTTAACTCTGTCTTGTCTGTATCTAATTCTAGACTGCCTGAGAGGCTTGCTATAATACCAATGACAATAGCTTATGCTGATGGTAATCAAAGATAATCTCTGAAAGATTAGGAAGTCATAAGTGGGCTCCTTATCTAATAGAGATCCATGTCCTGGCTTTGCTCTTCTTGTCAATTAATTATCTATCCAAGAACCATATTCTCAAGGCTTAGCCTGTGTAGTTTAACATGGGTATTTTTGGGTGCACTGTTCACTCGTGCTTGCCTTGGTGGCTTTTTTAGTTGTAAGCCTTTTCTTCCTTTCTACACAGTATACTTCTCTTCCCTCTCTGTCTCGCCATCTGAATTATCCATAGCGAATGATCTAAATTGCAATGTGTTACATTATATGCTTTTGAAAACGGCTTGCTTTATTCTGATTAATTAAATTTTATAAACATACTTGTTGCAAATGAGATGAGTGCAGTGTATATTGTTCAACATTGTTTTTCTTATGAAGCAAAATAGAGTTTACTATTTCAGGATTGGAATACCTTTTAAACATTTCAGAATGTAATTACTTTGTGTATTTATTATTATTAAATGTTGTTTGCTTATAGTTCTGGGCATTACAAAGGAAAAAGCTTATATTTTTTAAAAAAAAATACAGTATCAATGATAGATAAAAACTATTTGAAAATGCTGATTTTTGATTTATCGATGGTGACATCAGTATATTTTTACATGTCCATATCTTCAATTTGGACAACAATTTATCATCATTATAATGGTGAAGTTCACTGTAAGGTAGGATACAACACTATACACACTGCCATCTGGCATCGTGATTTGCTGGTTTATTCCTTTCTAGAATAAATGCACCTTGTTTTGATTTTCATCTCTACCATAACCAATTAGACTGCTTTCAACAAGCTAGGCCAGGTCTGTGCGATTCAGTTTCTTCATTAGGAATAGTCATTAGTAACAACTCTAATTCCCCGGGTTGTACGAGAACCCTAAAAGGAGGGCTCATGTTACATACTAAGCATCTTTCTGGGAACAATTTAAGCAGCACCAAGGTCTTCCTGGAAGCCTCTCCTATCCAGGTCCTTTGCCATTGCCTCAGCAGCACTGGAACTAGAAATAAACATCAATGGTTGCATATCTGGCGTAGGAGTCTCTTGTCACACTCAGTCTGCTTGAGAAAAGGTCTTAATTCTGACAGCTAAAATATTAACATCCCAGAACTGAAAGCACTGACTGCCCTGCTTGATGCGCGGCCACGTGCACCACCTCCTGACTCAAGACTGTATGTGCACAGTGTCAGTAACATGCCTTTCTGATGAAATGTGACAGATTCGTGTGGAGCTATTACCTACGGTACCATAGCATCCATCATGGCAGGTGACAGATACACTGACATGCGTTCAAATAAATTAATCGCTTTTTGGCCTAAGCTGTAAAAGAAAAGAGAGAAATACCCAACTCATAAAGTTATTATGAGTGGTAAGTCTTTGTATACGAAAGAAGAGCGTATTTTGTATCTCATGTATGAAGTATGCACGCACCACACGCCGGGTTACAGGCGTGAACAGTAGAAATATCCCACATACTGCACTTGCTAACTACTGCACTCATACACCTGTCTGGATGCCAGAGTGCTGTCACTGTTGAAGGCCTGTAAATCAGGCTAGCAATTGTTCCTAAGAGCACCAACCAATTAAAGAAAAACTACCAGCAATATTCAGGAATGAGATTGACTGCCATTGTTCCTCGGGCTGGGATGGAAGGGTACCAAAGGACCCTTGACTCTCCCCATCAAACTGGCATTTTATTTTCTCTGTTTGCTCAGACACAGTGGTTGTATCGTGGAAAGTTAGCTACTTTGGAATGGGGACATGTCTAATGCAAATCCACGAAGGAACCTTCTTTCCAAGCCCTAATTGGGTCCAGAAGTCTCAAGAGGGATGTAATATGTAATAAACCAATGTTTGAAATTATACCCTGTGGGCTGAGATTATGGCTCAGACAGTAGTTACTTGCCTTATGAGCATTGGTACCTGGTTTCAGTTACTATAACCCACAAGCAAAGCAAAACAAAACAACAGCAGAAACGTTGGGATTGGTGGTGTATACTGGTAACTCTAAAGCTGGGGAGGCAGAGATAGGCAGATTGTTGCTACCCTCTGTCCAGACAGCCTAGCCTACATGGCAAGTTCCATACCAGTGACAGACTCTGCTGCAAAAGAAATATAAGTATATAGCAGTAAGGAACCAATACCCAAGTTTGTCCTCTGATACCCCCTTCATATACTCACAACAACAGGAAATTAAATGAATAAATTGCATTTTATATATTTTTTGAAAAAAATAAATTTTTTGAAAATTTAGACAATTTACAAATACAACAGCCCTGCAAAACTGGTAGTAATAATCTCATAAACATTAAAAAGAGGTCCAGAGAAGTGTGAGTACCAAAGCAAGGTTGAAGCTGCGTGAAGAAATCACCTGCCTATTTAAACTTCCTGCAAACACATTTGAAGTCATTCTGGGATCCCGTACCATCTCCTCATTGGTAATATGCCCTAAAGACAGACCAAGGCCTGGTTATACACCCTGAATGCTAGTTCAGCACACACAATGACTATTTCAAAGATTCTCTACACTATTTATTCTTACAACGAGGTCTCATTTGAGATACCACACAAAGATTCCTACCACATCGTTCTCCATCCACCTTGACATTGAGGCTGTCATTCCATATTGAATTCAAACTTATTTTTCATTATTTGGGCTCTTGGCATTGAGATTATGCTTTCTGTTTTTACGCATAATCAAACAAAACAATTCTCAGAATTGACCCGCAGTTGTATAGGTATTTTTTCGTCAGCCCCTGATTTAAAGGCATAACATTTCAGAAGCTGAAAGGTTAAAATCCATGTTTTTGCTAAGCCCCACCCTGACCCTTCACTGTTACTCGCTGACCACATGGTGAGCTATAATTATGTCCTACATAGTTTATGAAGCTTGATGAGTTAATTGGATTTTATGGATCCGTATGAGCTATGAACATGAAAGGTGTTACGGCTGTGCTAAATTCTTTCTCTCAAATATCCGCTTCACACAAATCTGAAGAAAGCCTATTATGCAGCACAGGCTTGAAACAAGCCAGTGGCAAGGACAGAAGCCAAGAGCTTCATCAGCCATCAGGGTTCACAGAGCTGAAGTGAATCACTGTGTACCTCAGGATACATGAAGGGCTTCTGTTCCTGTGCATGAAAATCTGGAGTTTGTTTGTGACCTAAAACAAATTCTCCCTTAGTTTGGGTACTCAAACAAACAAACGAACAAACAAACTCTATGCCAGACTTCACTTTTATATGATATACTTCTTACAGGGAGGACTTACAGGGAGAGTTTTCCTGACTCTCTCATGCCTCTTTCTCCTTTCTTTTATAATTCTGAGTTTTTTGTTTCTTGTTTTGGTTGATTTGGGTCTTGTTTATTTGTTTGCTATTGTTGTTTTCCTTTTTTCCTGTGAAACAAAGCCTCTCTCTTTAGCCCAGGTGGGCGCTGATTGTTTGGTAATACACTGGGCTACAGTCAAGTATGAGCACATATACTATTAAATGTCAGTATTCTTTTTTCCATTTATCTAGTCCACAGTACGTTTAATGAGACATGCTGGGGAAGAGAGGGGGTAGCACCAGTTCCTGGCTTGTTGTTTATTTCCTATTGATGTTTACTTTTTTTATTTTTTGAGGAGTGTCACACACTATCCACACCCTTGATGAATGACTAAGATAAAGATTTGAAGGAACGATAGTTTTCTTAGTTTATAGCTTCCACTCTTCTAGTTGTGTTGGTTAGTAGTTCTATAGAAAAGTTCACCTGAAATCAAATGGTTGGAAGCTTCCACAGCAGCTTTTTAGAAGCTTCTGTGCTTGAGGAATAAAGCAGTGAATCCTGGGAGACAGCTCCTTGTGCTGTTACATGGAGTATCAGTGCTTAAATGTGACGTAACACCCTTGATTCTATTAAAAAAGAAAAAAAAAAACTGGGAATGTTTGGCCTGTTGGCTAGTTACTTTGATTTAATAAAAAGTGAGGGAACAAAATTATAAAATGCTAAACACTGAATTTTTACCAAGCTAAAAAAAAACCAAAAAAAAACCCCCAAAAACAATATTAATAATTAAAACAACAACAAAAATCAAGCTACTGGCAGAAATCCTGCATGAATTTATTGACTCAAGATTTATAAATATCTAGAAATCCCATAGTTCCTTTCTCTAGTACTGTTTAATTTCACAGTGATGCATTCACTGAAGTCTGGATTTCTTCATGCTTTTTCCTTTGCTCTTCTAGGATGCTAGTGTGTGGAACTGTTATTAGAAGACAAGCCATTATAGTACAGACATTGGACTTGCTGTGTACATGGGGGTAATCTTAATACATTTTATTTTGTCTTGGATACATTTGAAAACTACCAGAAACGCTGACAAAAATTGCCTCTCCTCTCTGGCAGTGTGCATTCACACTGCTCATATGAGTGTCAAGGCATATGTGTGGACATCAGAGGAAACCTTATCCTATACCTCGTTTAAGATAATCTCTTTGTTGTCCACCTTTGCACATATCAGGTTAGGTGTCCCATGAGATTTGGGAGATTTTCTTGTCTCTGCCTCCCATCCTATTTTAGGAGTGATGAAAGTGCAGACAATGCTATCG